AAAGGGGAGCAGACCAGCTCACTTGTTGGCAGACCACGGAAGAGAACAGACCTTCAGCCCTCAGCATCTGAGGAAAGGGCCTCGCAGACATGGACTGCCCTGGAGTGACCTGACCAGAGGGCCAGGTCGCAGGAAGAGGCAGAACACAGAGATGGAGTGACTGTCAGCAGGAGACTCCCAGTGGGAAGAGAGCTGCCATGTCATCCTAGGCACAAGGAGGAGGCAGCGGTGAGTCAACCCCTTCATATTTCCCCAGGTTCCCAATACAATCTAGATCACCCTCATCTCCAGGAGGTGTAGGCCAGTAGAAGGTGAGAGCAGGCCATTGTGCTCCTCTTCGACAACAGAACAGATAGGTGAAAACACACAGCTGTTGAAGATAAGAGCTGCTGTTGGGCCTGGTAAGAAGCCATAAAATGTTTGGCTATTATTTACCGTGAGTCTCATCGTTTTATAGAAAAAATGGATTGTGATTGTTACTTGACACTATTCTGTAATACATTATGAGCAGGCCTGCAATAATTTGAAATGCATAGAGGTGTCTTTACATTTTCTACATTAAGGTCTTGATTCAGCAAGGTACTTTAGCACATGCATAGCCTTATACACATGAGTAGTCCCACTGACCTCCAGGCTGAATGAGTGCCTACAATGGGTATGTTGGAAGTAAACTAATGATCCTCCCCCCAGCATTGTCAATGAGTTGGGGGGGGGGGGGAAGAGGGGTGTTTCAGATAATTGAAAAGAATAAGGAATCTATGTGGTGTAAAATCAACCTGAACAATGAACACATTTAAAGTGAATTTCATTTCACAAGGCTTTCTGTCAATATCTGGCTATAAAAAGGCTGAAGTTCAGCCAATGATGAATTCTAAATGTGTGAGCAGGAATGGCAGCTTCAGATTGATTGATTGTGCTTGAGTCTGCAGACAATTTTTAACAAACATTTAAGTCAGGCCTCTTCTTGGCAAATGGTCTTTGAGATTTCTGTGGTACAGTGAAAGAGGTATTTCTGTGGTCTGGACAGCACTGCAAGCTGCTAAAAGAATTCTCTGTTGGAAAAGGAAGAGCAAGGTCAGGCAGTTATTGAGAAGAGTATGAGGGCTACTGAGGTCAGTGCAAGGGTCTCCCACTGTGACAACCTGCTGAGAATCACACTGCTGGAAAAACCACTATGGTTCACATTAGAAAAATCTCACAGGAAAGCTTTTAAAAAGAGAGAGATAAGAAAAGTGAGTGCTTTTTGGTACTCTATCGCTTTTCTTACCAGATAACAGTGTAAATCAATGTGAGATTCATTGAAGAATTGTTAACTGATAGCTACAATTTTACAGATCTGATTTTAAGAATGTATCTTTTCAGTTTGAATCTATGGTGTTTTGCGGGGGTGGGGGGAGCTTTGCTAACTATGTCTAATTAGACTAATAATTGGATATCATCCTTACATGACAGAAGAAGTAGATAGTGTGAGTGAATAGAAGAATTTCAAAAAAATTATTAGCAGGAATTTTTCCAGTTTAGGCAGATTAGTACAGTGGGAGCAGATGCATTCATTCCACCCCACAATAAAGAGAGAGAGAGAGAGACTTAGGTATAATTTCTTCAAACTGATAATGCTATATATAACAATCAGCACAAAAAGCAAAGTGATGTTTTTAGATCTGGAAAATATGCTGAAGACAGTTCAACTTGTATTATTGGGGAAAGAAGATTTCTGTAAATAAATATATTAAATGGAAAGATATGGCTCATAACAATAACATCATTAGCTATGACAGAGTTCATTTGGACTACTCTAGAGAAAGCAAAGTCAAAACTTATGGCAGACATTTCTGCAGTGCCTATTTTTTATAGTGAAATGTTCTGTTGGGGACAAAACATCTTTCATTTGGTATTCACCTTTTTATGTCCTCATACATTTTCCATTCTCAGTCATCTCCACTTACAGGAGACAGAGCTATGAATCCAGCAGTTAAGGTTAATGTTTGTGCTAGGTGCGAGTGGTGAGGCATAGGAGGGGAAGGGGGGAAAGAGCTGTGACCGAAGACTGATTTTTAATTATTTGGGTATAATGATAATGGAATTCAAGATCTGTAATGTGTTCAAAGAATTTTTTTCTGTGCCCTTTGGATCACATTTCTTTCTTAGAGGTCAGTTTGCTTCTACTAGCACTAAAATTACCCAGATAACGGCATGATGGATGACCTAATGAAGTGAGCATTCAGAAGAGAAAAAAATAAATAATGCACAAGATGAGGCAATGTGTTTAAAAAGAGATCCTGAGCAGCACTGGGGAATGTTGCTTTCACAGAAGATTTATTTTTTGTGGAAAAAAAATAAAGTGTAAGAAACTAATAAATGAGAAGGGACCATATTCTCCACTCCCCCTGTTTGCCGTAAGCTGGGGGACCTGGGAGGAACTTCTGTGTCTTTCTTGAAACAGAGTCTTAGCCTCTGAGTCCAGAGGGCTAGAATGAACATTTTAACAGAGAGATCCTTTTAGTATTCACTCCAAAGCTGTGACATAGGACCTGAGCTTTAAGTTGATTTACCCAGGTTGTATAGATTTCAAGGCTTAGGACTCATAATAGCCTTCAGGATTTGCTTATCCCTTTTGCAAGGCTGAAATTGGGAAAAGAAGGTTTTCCTATAGTATTTTTTCTACATTATGTACATGTTTTTGCAATCTGAGCATGGATTATACCCATTGCCTTTTATTCAGCATCCTGATCGCAGAGCAGTCAAGACAGTTATTCCTGTTGTTGCTGATTTACTGTTACAGCTGCTTCCTTTTCATGTGATTTTAATTTGAAGTTTCAGCCCACCAGGGGGCTAATAGTCCCACCTATGCAGCTTTAAGAGCTAGTTGTTGTTTTCCACCTGAATGTTGTTTCCATTCCTATTCATAGACATTCTTTCTTCACATTCATCTGGCAACAGCAAGGCAGTGTTCCAGCAATCCTCTTCAGAGAGTAAAAACATGGAACAATTTGGATGGAAAAATTATAAATTAAAATCAGTCTGATCACTTTAAAGTGTCCACTTTATTGTTTTGGTGAATGCCAGCAACTGGAAAATAATGGCTAATGTCCTGTTTTTGTATCTCGTTTAAGATTTTTATTTATTTATTTAATGTTACATTATTCATTTTTTCCGTTGATTGCACCATACATATTTTTTAAACCTTTGCAATAGCGTAGCATTGCTTGATGTGAAGTATGTTGCTAAAAATATTAGCAACTTCTGTAAAACCAATAGTGAGTGTGTATAATATATTCACTCACACTGTAAGACTCTTGAGACATTTGACTATAAGGTTATGCTTGAAAGTGTGATAACACGACTGTGCTATGTAGGTACATGTAATGGAATGTTGGTGGATGATGGCTACATAGCAGTGGAGAAACAGCTGCAAATTAATCAAACTTTTTAATATCTGATACCAAACTTTTAAAGGTGGGCTGTGAACATGTACAGATGCTATTCTGAAGGATGTTTTACAGGATTTTTTGTAAGTGCCTAACTGCATATTTGCATAGAGGACTGTGTTCCAATGGACATTTCAGTATTGTTGTCTGATCATTTTGACTGTGTCCTGCATTATAAAGCATTGTTTATGTTGAACTGAAGTATGCTGGAGAGAACCATCTCAATACTGCTTCCACCAGGACTCTCACAAAAACAAGAAGTCCATCTCATGAAGCTATCCCAGTGGGCAAAATTTTAAATAAAACATTTTTGGTTTATATTGTAAATTGTTTTTGTTTTAAATAATAAATAGTTCTAAAACCTTTTTAAACAATCGGAGTTCAGTTTGACACTCAACAGAGACTGTTGTACCTCCCTTTCAACATAGCGTGAGTTAGAGAGCAGTATTTTGCTTTTTTCTGTTTGCATCATAGTCTTAACATTATTTAAACCAATGTTTTTGTTTGTATTTTCCAAATTAAAATGATTAAAAACATTTAAATTTTATCAGGCTGAGCTTCCTCTGCCAGTCCAGTTGGAGCCACTTAGAAACCACAGTCATGTGGCTTCCAATGGATGGAACTGTAGATGTGACTTCTTTTTCTTTTCTTTGTTTCATTTCCTGTAGTAGAAACTTAACTTTGTGCTGAGTTAATCCTAGTCATCTAATTGACTCAAAAGAAAATTTCCCCCCTTTTTAATTGGCTTATTTCTTCAGCAGCTTCATTTCTGCATTATGAAAAGGTTGAGGTCAGGGGCAGACTTATAGTAGTGGCCCACCTGAAATCAACTGTTATTAAAAAGTGGCACAATCTTTACTGCCTTTGGGCAGGAAAATGTTGTTAACAGATTTCAGTGTTCAAGGGTAAGATTTTTGTACAATACAAATTGACTACACTACTTCCGAAGATCTGATTGATGGAAAATAGAATATTAACTGCCAAGAAACAGGTTTTCCAACACTACTATTTAGCCATCCTGCACTGACTACCCTTTTAATGGAATGATTTAATATGTCCTTGCTAACAGTATAATTTAAAGAATGCAGCTTGTAATAGTTATTGCAGGTTACATGATAATCACCGCATTCGGCAGTTGGTTTGTTAGAGCCTTAACTACCCTTGGCCTTTGCAGGCTGCTAACTGCTAGTAATGGTCATTAGCGTGGACTGATTGCTTGAGCAGTATTGCTTGCTCTGTTTAATAAACTAGATAGCCTCAAAGATGGGAGTGCAGTAAAAGTCCAAATTGAGTTGCTTTAGAGGCAGCACAGTATTAATCATTGGTTGTGAATGTTAATCACTCCACAGCAGTGATAATTTACAGCATTGTTGTAGCACACTGGCGCTCATAAAATGAACTTAATAACCCACCACTACCCATGGGATAAGCCTCTTTTTTTCTGCAATTGAATACTCAGCCTGGCTGCATAATAGTCTTGTGAAATACTGCATTTAAAAGGGTGAGCAGCTGTATGATAAAATAAACAGCTCTAAAACAGATTTGTTAATTATCTCTTTCTTTTATTCACAGAGGGTGTTTGTGAGATATGGCTGACCAGTGAAGACACAGGGGCTTATGGCAGAGACATTGGCACAGACCTTCCTACACTTCTGTGGAAGCTGGTTGAAGTTATTCCTGAGGGAGCTATGCTGAGACTTGGCATGACAAATCCTCCCTATATTTTAGAGCATCTGGAGGTAAGTAAAAAGAGAATCATTTACATACTGACATAGATGTTGATAAATCAAGTCAGTGTGGTATCCTGTGTAGAATAAGTGTTTCATTTAAGACTGTTAGTAAATTTCTGTAGCCACAGATTATAAAAAGTAAATTTGTAGAATTGGGCTTTAGATGTTAAACCATTTGTCTGTCATATGAGATTGTCCAATTAATCAAATATCCAAATCTTCTTGAGTGTGATGATGATATTGTGGAGCCTAACCTGAGCAACTTGAGGGTAGTGATGTTTGGATTTTACTTTCATAATCAGCCCTTTCAATAGCTAGTAGAAGAGGTCATAGCAAACTATGGATCATGAGTCAAAAGCTTCCTCCCATTTGTACCTCTCAGAAATGCACCCAGAAAACCTTGTATCGCTCTTAGACTCAACATTGTGTTCTTAAGGTGACACACATCAAGATGAAGAATAAAAGTGAAAATCTTGCCCTGTGAGTGTGCAGGGTTCCCACAGAGACCATTGGGAACTTTAAAGGTTTAGTTAGAAAAGAACATTTTGTAACAAAATAAATCAATGAAGGCAGAGACAATATGTTGGAGAACGGATGTGAACTACAAATATACAAGTAGCAGGAATTGAGAGAATTCTCAAAAGAATTGTACCCGGTAGCAAAATGAATGTCCTGAATCTCTTGTGAATTGATGATGGGAAAAATCTAACATAAGGGAGCAAAAGCAATGACTTAGAAGTCTTCTGCAGTCTGTATCTCTTCAATACCCAGGTACAGCTACACATATATGAAAATAAATAGCAGGTGAACATCCGGCACTACCTCAAATATTATAAATGAAGTATTTCCACTTGTGATTCCTTAAAGCATTGAAGTCCATGTTTATTTAACATTGTGCCTAGTCAGCTCTTCAAAGTCTTGAGGAATAGAAAGTGAGCCTAACTGCCTTGATTTCTAAAGAAACTGTATACTAGTATGCAGGATCTTTCAAGAAGTGGCTGTTGCCACTAGAATATAAAGGGATAGCTTTGTGTTCTAGGAACAATGGTGACTATTGATGCATGAAGGTCGATAGACATAACTGACAGATAAAAGTGCACTCAGTTTAAAATAATGAGTAAAGATGCTACGGTATCACTCAAAACAGGATAATGCCTATCCTGAGGAGCCTCAGCTGTCTAAGCATCATTTTGGGAATACACAGAAACTCTAGAAATACAAGTTTCATCCTTCTTATGTGTACCATGCAAGTGTGGGATAAAACCCTAAAATGAGTCTGATTTGCTGGGCATCTCAAAGATCTGTTGTCAGTTTTAATAGGAGCTGGGATTTGCATTGTTGTTTCTGGCCTAAATTCCTTCTGCCCGTAGTCACTTTTGTGTAGTTATGTGTATGCTGGTGATTGCCACCCTCTCCAGAGGTAGCTGTATTTAAGTGCCGATGTATGTATGGTATATTCCAGTTATCTGAATTTCATTTATCCAAAAATCCTCATTATTTGAATCCACATTGTGTCCTCCATGTAGCTCTACAAATCACAAGCAATACATTCACATGAACTTCATGGTACACTACATTTACAAAAAATTCATGATACACCAGTGGAGCTGTGTACTCACTCAATGACTACAACACTATGTCAAGTTCAAAGTGCATCTTGCGTATTAGTTGAATTCATAGCAACATGATAAGTGTTCCACTCCCATCATGGAGACTGGGACATGGCTTCCCAGTGACCAGCGGGAAAGGGATCTCACTGACACCACAGTCAGCACTGAGGGGCCACATCCGGCCACAGCCCGAGACAGGCAACCTGGGACCAGGACAGTCATAGGGCAGCGAGGTCCATAGGTGAGGGGCTGACACACACACATTGCCATCATTCCCAGCTGTACTGGAAGCTTTACTGCCTCCCAGCTTGCAGCTAGAACCCAGATCAAAATAGCACTTCTGTTTATCCGAACACCTAGTTATCTGAAGGATATTTGGCCATTTGGATAAATGAGGGTGTAAAGTATAAGATTTCTGAAAAACTTTAGAATCCTCCAAGATGAAATATTTCCATAAACATGTACGTTAACATTAATTATGATATTATTACTTTATCTTTATTACAGTATTTCATATTTATTAAATCAGTTGATTGCATTTGCAGAAGGTATGGTCAACATGCCATAGATTTAGAACATCAGAGCTAATAATAAAAGCAATATATTTGATCGAAATAGATCAAAGTTAACAAGGAGTCCTGGTGGCACCTTAAAGACTAACAGATTTATTTGGGCAGAAGCTTTTGTGGGTAAAAAAACACTCATGAAAGCTTCTGCCCAAATAAATCTGTTAGTCTTGAAGGTGCCACCAGGACTCCTTGTTGTTTTTGTGGATACAGACTAACATGGCTACCCCCTGATTCTTGACACAGATCAAAGTTATAATATTTCATATTTGTTTTTGGAACGAGCACAGTTTCTAAGAGTACACATTTAACATTTATCAGGCACCCTGAAAACTTGTGGTTTGCACATTCAACTTCTAATCTGTTATGGGTATGTAACTAGAAATGACTAAATGGTAGCAGGACACTGTAGGTCAAATGCAGCTTTAGGCAGCATGTTAAGGCAGCTTTGAACACTTGTCAGCTTTACCCTAGGTATCCCTGGCAGGACAGTTAATTGTACATATCAAAGCTGGTAATTATAAAATATATAAATAAATGTTGATAAATGCAAAGTAAAAGAGATTGGCGGGAAACATTTAAATACTCATAAGCTTTACAGGTTCTAAATTAACTGTATCACATCAGGAAAGGTGACCTGAATGTCACTGTGGACAGCTCAATGAAGACTTATAAACAGTGTATCAGAAAAGTAAATAAGATGTTCAAATAAATAAGGAATGGGATGGAGAAAAAATCAGAAAATAATATATTGCCATTTTATAAATTAGCAGTATGACCTTAGTGCTGGTCACCCCAGCTCAGAAAGGATATTGCAGAATTGCAGCTGGATCAGAGAAAGGCTACAAAAATTATTAGGGGCATGGAAAAAATCTTATATTAAGAGAAATTGAATAAGAGGGCATATGATTAAAGTATATAAAATAATGAATGCTATAAAGAAGGTAGGTTGGTAATTTGTGTTCTCCCTACCCCAAAAAAACAACAACAAGGGACGCAAAAAAATTAAAAGGTGGCAAATTCAAAACTGATGAAAGGAAGTACTTTTTCACAAAACACATAATTAAACTGGAATTTATTATCTCAAGATATTGAGACCAAAAACTTAGCAAGGTTCAAAAAGGAATCTGACATTTATATGTATAACAGGATATTCAGAGTTATCATAGTTAATACTACAAATTTTTGGAAGAGATATTAAACCTCATGCTTCCAGATTTAAGCCAATCTCTAACTACTGTGGAGAAGCGGATGATTTTCTGACATCTACCTATGCAAGGTTTCTTGAACCATCCTTTGAAGCATGTGAAGTTGGCTTCTTTTGGAGGCTGAATACCGAACTATCGAGACCACAATTCTGATCTAGTATGGCAATTCCTATCTCCCTGTGACGTACTTTCTAGTACTTTCGGGCAGGTGGCGAAGGAGGGATTAAAAGTGCTTGCACACTCTCATTTTCTGAGGAAAAATATTGGTTTTAATGGAGAGATCCTTCCATGTATATATTTCTCATGTGCTGAATTACCACAAATAATGGGTATATAATTACCTAGATAGAATAAAAATAAAAACACACACTTGGTTTGTATTTCAATTAAAGCTTGCATTCTTTTGTGTAAAATACGTTGACCTCTAATCCGTATGATTCAGTACTGACAAGTACTACTGTAAAGCATCTCGTGACTGTGTGTTTTGGAGGGATTTTGCTTGGGTTTTTTTGTGACTTCTGGTATTGGTTCAGGTAACGCAGCTTACTGTCCATCCTGATACAATTCCCTATAGTTTATATGGGTCAGTTAACACTGCTGCCAGGATACTTACCTTAATATTGGTATCTCAATCTATCAGTGCCACGTAGCACATTGTTCACTTCCTGTTAAGCACTGTATTGATTATACAATTGCTTTATTGATTTATAAGACATCACACAGCTTGGCATTGTTTAGCTAGTGAATTTCTTTTGTTCATGAGATTCATGGATGTGATATTGCTTATGATCCATAAGCATTATTTGAGGCTACAGAGTTAGAGATCCCGTAGTCAGTTTGTTCCCTGTCTTTTGAATTCACTCTCAGACCTCACCAAAAATGTGCTTATTGCTGAAGCTTTAAATGCCCTACAGTAATTATTTTTTTTTATTTGGTATTTTAAATCGTGGATTTTGTGACCTTATTTGTTTTAGCATTAGGTGATGGGATTTTCATGTGGTGTTTTTTTTTGTGACACAGAACCTTACTCAAAAACCTCCAGTTGGTTGCTGTGTCAATGGAGGTGCTTGAAGATGGATTCTTACCATTACCCAAATTGTATATTCATACTGGCTGAAAGAGCTGAATGTTTGCTAATCCTGTGGCCTTATCTTGACTAGGAAATAAGATGTTTTTTTTCCCAAGCCAATTAGTTTGAGAATAAGAATATGTAAATGTGTACACTCTACATAGTCAAAATACTAAGAAGTGATAGATTTTATTATTATTCTTTATTCAATGTGGACAAATGAAAGCTCGTATCCCTGAAAGAAAATAAACTGGAAAGCAGATCTTCAGTAAGAGGTAGAGAATAGGACATCACTGAATTAATTTCTGTTTGAACTAGAAAAACATCCAGTCTTGGTTAAAAAAATTGCCAGTGATGGAAAATCTGTCATAACTCTTGTTGAGTTGTTCCGATAGCTTTATTACACTCAGTGTTAAAAAAAATGGTCTTATTTCTCGTCTGAAGTTGTCTATCCTCAAATTACAGCAATTCAGTCTTACTATACTCTTGTCTGCTAGATTGAAGAGCTCGTTCTCAAGTTTTGTTCCTTAGGTAAGTATTTAGATTGTGACACTCC